ACTGCGGCTTGCGAGCCACATGCGGCTCTTGGGCCCCTTGAGTGTGGCTCTTCCATAAAATACCACGGCCTGGGCAAGTCTATTTTGGAGAAGTGGTGTTAGAAGAAGTTTAAGTTTAAAAAATTTGACTCTCAAAAGAAATTTCAATCGTCCTGTTGATATTTGTCTCTGTTGACTAATGAGTTTGCCCACCACCCGGCTAGCTGGTGGTGGATGGTTTTGCTCTCCCCTCTTCGGTATCGTCTGAGACAATAGAACTCATACAACAGCAGCTTATTCCTTTGGGGGTCTTGACAGGCATTTAATTTTCACCAACTTAATCCCAGTTCCCTGCGGAAGACTGAGAATGGAAGTAAAACGCACTGGGACGCAGAGAGGCAAAAAAGCCCGAAAACAGAACAAAACGGTGAGCCCCCAGACAACCTTCTGGCCTGCGGGGAGCCGGGGGCAGCCTGCGCGGTGTCTGGTCCCCGGAAGCAGAGGGGCGTCCTGGTTGCCTCCATCTGTCAACTGCAGGAGCCAAGGAGCTGTCCGCACGCCAGGAAACCCATCTCGTTAACCTTCTCCCTCTTTAGACAATAAGCTATTTCCTTGGTCCTGAGTTCAAATTCAAGAGCAAGACCTATCAGGTTGTAATGGCAAAGGCTCAAGAGAGAGGGGACAGACTCCAGTTTAAAAAAAAAAATGTATTTTATTGATTTTTTTACAGAGAGAGGAAGGGAGAGGGATAGAGAGTTAGAAACACCCATGAGAGAGAAACATGGATCAGCTGCTTCCCACACACCTCCTACTGGGGATGTGCCCGCAACATGCCCTTGACCGGAATCAAACCTGGTCGACGCTCTATCCACTGAGCCAAACCGGTTTCGGCCAGGCTCCAGTTTTAAAGGGAAAGTCCAGGAAGAAATGGGACTGATATGCCCAGCTGGTGTGGCTTAGTACTTGAGTATTGACCTATGAACCAAGAGGTCATGGTTCGAATCCAGGTCAGGGCACATGCCCGGGTTGTGGGTTCGATCCCCAGTGTGGGGCGTGTAGGAGGCAGCTGATCAGTGATTCTCTCTCATCATTGATGTTTCTATCTCTCTCCCCCCCTCTTACTTCCTCTCTGAAATCAATTTAAAAAAAAAAAGGGGGGGGGGGGAGAGGGATTGACTCCTTCAGTGGGATGTGCAGGTGAGGCATCATGCCAAGACCCCCGTCAAGGCATCATGCCCCAACTCCAAGCCTGGGAGCAGTCCAGGGGCACTCAGGCTTGTTCTGTGCAGTCACTGAACGAAGTGCAAAGGGTTTTCGATGATCACTGTTGTTTAAGCAGCATCTCTTGAAATTTCTATCACGTAGGTGCTATGTTCTGGGTGTTAGCACCACCAGGAAAACAAACCCGCCAGAAGTGGTGCGGTGGGTCCTTTACCTGTTGCTACGGTCCATTCTGACTTGACTAAACTTCAGCATGTTGAACACATGAAACTGCTTACTCATTTCGAAGTTTCAGCAAAGTACAGGTCCACAAATCAGGCCTTTTATGTTCAAAACTAGAGGATTAGTGCACAGAATTCATGCAGGGGTAGGGTCCCTTGGCCTGGCTGATGATCAGGGCCCATCGGGGCCTTCCGGCTGCTGGCCGGGGCCTTCCTTCATTCTGCGCCGCCCCCGGTGGTCATTGCACATCATAGTGAGTGATCGAACTCTTGGTCTCCTGGTTGAACTCCCGAGGGGACAATTTGATTATTAGGCTTTTATAAATATAGACCCGGTATATGACATTCGTGCACTGGGAGTAGGGGAGAGGGCCTAAGCCTGGCCTGCACCCTCCCAGGGGGAAACAGGCCTAAGCCAGCAGGTGGACATCCCCCGAGGGGTCCTTAGCACTGCTGCCGAGGTGAGAGAGGCTTCTGCCACCACCACTGCACTCGCCAGCCCCCTGTGGGAGCACCCTGACCACTAGGGGCAGCTCTTGCATTGAGCGCCTGCCCCCTAGTGGTCAGAGCACATCATAGCGACTTGTCATTCTGTTGTTCAGTTAATTTGCATATTAGCCTTTTATTATATAGGATGATATCCCAAATGAGCTGAAGTTCAGCCCTTGGAGTCCTAAAGATCTCATTACATGTGGTGTGTCTGGCAAGATTCCTCTAAGTTTCCTACTAAGAGTAGACATCCCAAGATAATAAGGGCTGTCATACTGTGGAGTGAAGGCAGGAGGCGTGCAGACGGGAGGAAAGGGGAGGGTTTGCAGGACAGTGTAAGGCTCGTTCTAACTCAGCTCAGGGTTTCATTATGTTTCATCTTGAAAAGGCAAGGGGGTACAGGAGCTCCCCGTATTATTTCTTACAACTGTATGGGAATCTACAAGGACTTAAACTAAAAATGAAAGAAAAGTGAGGGGGGAACTTTGAAAGCAGGACTTGGGGCGAGCGTTATATTTAAAGTGCAGCCTTGCCAAAACCGGTTTGGCTCAGTGGATAGAGGGTCAGCCTGCCGACTGAAGGGTCCCAGGTTCGATTCCAGTCAAGGGCATGTACCTTGGTTGCGGGCACATCCCCAATAGGGGGTGTGCGGGAGGCAGCTGTTCAATGATTCTCTCTCATCGATGTTTCTAACTCTCTATACCTCTCTCTTCCACTCTGTAAAAAAAAAAAATAAAAAAAAAAATCAATAAAATATATTTTAAAAAAGCTGTATAGTTTTGACTGTATTACAGAAAGTAGAAACAGTAAGAAAAACCACACGTAATCGCCCCAAAGGGAGTAGTATTTTCTATCAGTCTTTTTATAAAGTGCTGTTTCTGTAGGCCTAGAGTCACACCATGTACAATAAATGAATACTGTAAATTTTAATACCTCTTTGTCCCCGTCTAGCCATCGGTACACTTTCCTTTTTGGCTCTGATGTCTGCGACTGCTGTAATGTTTCATTGTGGGGACATAACACAACTCACTCCCTAAATACCCAACACTGGCCACGACCGGGAGGCTTCCAGTGATCCGGTGACGAAAACCTTCACGCCCAGAACCTTTTTGGCATTCAGTGTTATTTCCTTAGAATAGGTTCCCAGAAGGAAGATTACCGGGTCAAAGGATGCCTTTTTTTTTATGGCTTTTAATACATACTGTAAAATTGCTTTTCAAAGGGGTATACGGACTTTCAATCCACCGGCACTTTCAAGAATATGCTCCCCAACACACATTGTCAACGTAGGCGCTGTTGAGAATGCTTATCGATAAATTTTTTGAGGCTCATCCAATTAAAGTTTGTTGAAGAATGCGTGGGTAATACAAACCGTTCTTTCGGGACAGCTTCATTTCTGGAAAACCTGAGACATTTTTTGCTTGTGAAGACTAGGAAAAAAGAACACATGTTAAGATTGGCACAGAATTCACTCTGACTGCCATTCTTGATGCCAAAAACACTTCGGGGAGGACCTTTCGCTGATTCTGCTGGTTGCCATCCACAGCAGCAAAGGAGAGAAGGGAAATGCGGAGGCAGGCGGTGTCCTCGGGGCTAACCGCACAAGGAGAGGGGTTGGAGCTCTGCTTTTCCCTCCAGGTCTCCTAAAGCTTCGAGGGGGCAGCCCTCTCCGAGGCTTCTGGCAAGACCTGTCCACGTGCACGATCCCCGAATGTCCCTGGGCGTGGGCATCCCATCTGTGCCATCTCGCCGGGCTCTGGGCTTCTCCGTCCCGTGTGTGCGCGTCCACGAGGCGTGGACGGATCTCCAGAAACCTGCAGCCACGCCTGTCCTCCCACGGGCCGACCCCAACCTGCGTCTGTGCTCGCTCTCCCCGACTGACACCCAGCTGGCCCCCCACCTGGCACGGGGCGCGAGTGAAGCGGACGCTGGGTGTGTGGGGAAGCCACGGAGGGAGCCCCGGGGGGAAGGAAACTTGCCTCGCCGGCCCTCCCAGCAGGCGCGCCCGGGCGCCCCGTTTCCCTGCGTTTTGCTCGGCGGCCTCATCCTGGGACAGGCGTCTGAGTCATCCGCTCTGCGGGTCACATGGCCAACGTGACCGAAATAAAGTTTCAGTATTTTAAGCAGCTAGAAAAGGGGACAACGGGGCACACCACGGGTGGGGAGCGGGAGGCGGGCCCCGGCGGGCCGGGCACCGCGCGTGGGGCGGCGGCGGCGACGCGGGCAGAGGGGGCCGGGCGCCGGGGGCCGGGAGGCGGGAAGGGGCGGGTCCTGGCGGGAGGTGGGCCCCTCCCCATCCCCATCCCCCCCACCCCGCGGCCGGCAGCGACGCCCCGAATCCTGGGCCAAGCCGGCTCCGGGGAGAGCGGCGCCCAGCGGACCTCAGCCGCGAGGCCCGCCAGTGCCCGCCGTGCCCTGGCTGCACCAGGCCTCGAAATTCTGGCGATGCCGCCGCGCCCTCCACGGCCACCGGGACCCCACGCGCCGCCGGCAGCGGCTTCCCCGGGAACGTCCTTCAGCCCCGGGAGCACGCGGGAAAAGCCCCCACGCGCCAATGAGCGATCGCCAGCCTCATGACGGTCACGCTGGAGGGCGGGGCTTCCCTTCGCCGCTCCCGAGTTCCGGGAACCCCCTTTGATTGGTCTGGACGGCCTGGGAAACACTGTAGTGACGTCCAATCAAGACGCCACGTCTCGGCCTCGAGGAAATATTCCGTGTAGGCCCCTTTTGGATTGGACAGTTCCTTCGGGCTCTGGCCACTGGGAAGCTTTGTTTAGGTCCGGAAGGCGGGCTTTCCCGAGAGTGGGTGGGGAGGGGGCGTTGATTCTGAACCAATCCTTTCATTCCGTTGGGTGGTGACCAGCCAATGGGCCGGAGGGATAGGACGCTCCTCCCGAAGAGTAGTGAGACCCCTGGTGCGAGGCGATTGGCGGCGGGACTGGTGAGTGGCAGCTCCCTCACCCAACAGGCGTAGTGCGTGGGCCGCGGGGCGGGGCCAGGGCGGGTGCGCGGCGGCGGCGGGGTGGCTGGGCCGGCGGCGGCGGCGGTACGAGGCGCGCGCTCGGGGTCCCGGTCGCGAGGAGGAGGAGGATGTGGCGCGCGGAGGGGAAATGGCTGCCGAAAACAAGCCGGAAGGTAAGAGCCGGAGCGTGAGGGCTGGGGGCGGCGTGGCGGGCGGCGGGACCCGGCCCCGCCGGACATCCCGGGCATCGGCGGCGCCGGGAGGGAGCGCGGGGGCGCGGCGGCGGGCACGGGCGGCGGGTGCCCCGGCCGGGGAGGGGGCGGCGGGCGGGGGGCGGAGCGCGGCCGGTCCTGAGGTGACTGGCGGGGCGGTGGAGCTCGGCGCCGCACACCCCCACCCGGGGGCGGGCTGGGGCCGGAGGGGCGGGGGGCCGCGGGCGGGGGCCGGGCCCAGCGAGGAGGAGGAGCCGGCGGAGGGAGGGCCGGCGCCTCCCCCACCCGGACCGGGCATCCCCGCCGCCGCTCCGGGCCCGCGGCGCGGCCCCCGCCCCTCGCCCCCCGCGCCGGCCTGACGGGGGCCGCGGGGCGGAAAGTTTATCCGCCTCGGGCCCCTCCGGCCTCGCGCCCCGCTGCCCCGGGCCGGTCCCCGTCGGGGCCCGGCCGCCGCTCACCCTCGCCGCCGCGGCTTTCGGGCGGCAGGGCCATGCGGACTCTGCCCGGCATCACCCTCGCGCCCTGTGGGCGCCTCCCAGGGCCGGCGGGGACCCCGCGTTTCTCCCCGCCAGGGGGACCCCGTCCTGCGAGCGTCCCCGGCGGGAGGGCCTCGTGTGACCCCTCCCCCCTCCCGGGAGGGTCCTGCGCGTCCCCGCCCCTCGCCGGGGCTCCTCTCCCCTCCCGCCCTTGCACCCCTCGCGGCCCGGAGGGCGGGGTCTCCATTCCCACGGCCAGGGGGGACCTCCATACTTCCTTGCCCTTTACCTTCGGTGACCCCGGCCCGCCTTGGGCAGAGGGGTCCGTCTCCTCCTCTCCTCCCCCGTGGGGTCTTTTGGGGCCTCCGCACACCATCTACTGACCCTTTTGCCAGGACAAGGGGACTCGGGCCACCCGTGTGCGTCCTCCCTCACCCAGCGGCAGCGGGGGCCTGTGCGGCGCTGAAGTCATTTCTAAATGGGAAAGCAGATACTTCGTCCGGATTGTGCACACTTTGCTGGGCGAGGGTGAGCTCATTTCCTGCGTACCCTCTGACTTGTCCTCTTTTCCCTCCGGGAGAACCCGGGCATGCCAGGGCTCCCTGCCCGCTCTGTCTGTCTCCCTTGCCATGTTCCCTGCCCTCGGAGTTCCTTGGGGTGAGGGTGCCCATCAGATGTAGGGCAGGGCTTCCATTGTGCCTCCTACTGGAGTAAGACGGGGCCACGATCATTGCTCCGATGTCGGAGGAAAACCGAGGTGTCATTTGCATCCAGTCCACTTGCCCCCTGGGTGGGGGCAGCATGCACCAGTTGACACCACCCCGGCAGGAAGGGCGTCGCGGGCCCCTGCTTTTGGTGTTCCAGTTACTGTCCTCCGCTCAGGAAGAGCCAGACTCTGTACACCCTTCATCCAAGCGTCTTTGAACCTCCCCTGGAAATAAGCTTCCCGTGTCTTTTTTAGGAGAACTTGTACCCTCCTTATGGCTTCTGCTCCCCAGTCGGCCATATTTAGGGAGCCTGTTACCTTGACTTTTCCTAATTTCCTTAAATTGTATTCATGTTGGCTGAGGAAGAAAGCCATATGCCTTTCCACCCAGAAAAGGGAGTGTAGACACCCGTGTCGCCCACGTGCCTTTCGGGAAGGGGCTGCTGGTGTGCTCCTGGTACCAGGACCTTCCCTTGGCCCTGGCGTCCCTCCTGGGATCCAAACAGTTCTTCTGATCTTGTAGCTTTCAGGTGAAGGGGGAATTTGGACACTTACTTTTTAATGCTGCTCTGATTCTCTTTTGGCAAAAAAGAGATTACAGTGATGCTATGCATATGTTTATGTATACATATGTATAAAATTATATTCATAGGTGAAATCACACCCTTGACACATGTGCAGAAATGTTCAAGGGTTATATGACCATCTACATTTTGGGCGTTTGTGGGGACTTTGATGTGTAAGAATATATATGTGTTAATATATACATATTAATATACATATATAATATATATGTAATCTTCAAGCTTAGAGAATCAGAAGGCTCATTGATAAATGGCCAGTTCTTACCACTCTTTCATTTGTCATTTGTACTGAACTGAACAGGCAGAATGACACCCTGAATGCTCACCTCAAGTGCAGAGGGCTTGCATTCTGAATCCAGCAGCAGCATGCTCGCGTCGGTCCCTCACAGGGTTAAAAGTTCTCATCTTCACGTCTTTCCTGCGGTGTAGGGAAGGAGATTTTCATGTATTTGGGGCAAACGAGAGGAGTGGGTGAGAAGAGTATGTGTTTCTGTGACGGAACTGGAAGCGAAGGGCCATAAATACGTCGCTGTTTTATTTTGGCCGTTTCAATAATTGAGAGAGGCTGTGCACGTAGGACAAGGTGCTTTGGGGAGGGCCTGTGACACTTCGTGCCAGGGCAGGAGGGGCTGTTCTCCAGGTTCTCCCTGAGTGTCACCGATGGTGTGTGTGTCTGATTGCCCTTGGCTGCGGGGCAGGGGCAGTGATGTGAGTCTCCTCGGGCCCCCACTTCCTAGCCTCACCAAACTTGGAACGCTTGCTAGCTGCTGTCACTTCTTGACAGGCTGAGTTTGGAGCCTCATCCTCCCAGCAAGCTCTGTCGGACTCGAAGCATTTGGACCTTCACGCGCTTTTCTAGCAAGGGCACTCCACCTGGGCTCCCGAGGGCCGGCCAGCTCCGCTGCCTGGTGGGCTTGGCCGTCAGCTCGTATTGAGTGATCAGCGGCCGTCATACCCATCGCCTCAAAGTACTGCTGTGACCTCAATTTGCTTTGCTTTTGGCTTTTAAAAAGTTGTTACGTTTTTTATCCTCTCTGTATCTGCACTCAGCTTGATGGGATTGCATATTTTTAGGGTGTAGTGTTACTGACCCTTGGAAGACAAGGTGACAACCTGCTGTGTGTGTTGGCCTTTTCCCAGTAGAGGCATCACTTCCGGTGGTGGATCCTGGCCCGCTGACTCTATGCCACCCATGCCTTTGAGAGTTTCCCTTGCTAATCGGGTGCTCCATGCCACGGGCAGAGGAAGGACAGGGTCAAGGTCAGAAGAACACACGTGAGGTTAGTGTGTAAGGTTAGGCTCTTTCCTTTGCGTTCAGTATGGTTGTGCTTCGGTCACCGTCCCCATAGAGGTCTGGGGCTCAGCTTTGCTGCTCTTCCAGGGGCAGGGGGAGGTGTGCTCTTGAGGCTCGTCAGGCAGGATGGCCTCTCCTGCCCTCCATCACTGTCTCCTCCTCTCCACCCTTGTACCCTGGCTCTGTGGCAAGGCTGGGTGGCCTCTGGAAGGTCTCTCCCCTTGTCTTCTTGAAGACCTGGCTTGTCCTGCAGCTGGGAAACATGGGCTTCCCCATCTCACCGCTCAGTGGATTCAGAATGTTGACGTGGTCACAGCAACCTCTGCTCAAGGTCAGATTGGGTCAGATTTTCCTCTCAGAGGGGAGGGATGCTCTTGCTTGCTCTTGGAGACATATTTATATATCCTGCTTATGTGTGTTTTTCCATTTCTTCAGTTTTTAGGCTTTTCCCCTAAAATAGCCTGTTCTTTGGGGTCAGGTGGCAGTGTTGTGGTCCCCTGTTTGTCCTCGGTGGCCATGTGCTGGCGGGATTGTAGCTCTGACTGGTGGTGAGGTAGCCCATAGGTGGCCTTTCCTCGCTTCTCATTCCTGTGGGCCAGTCTTGGTTTTCTGCTCCCGAAGGCTTGGAGGAAGGCTGTCGTTGTGCACAGTTGTACTTCTTTCTAATTTCCTTATGGGAAAAGCAACAGAAGGTGATTCTCGCGTTCTCTTCCTTTCCCCTCATTGTGCCATTGCCTCCATTGGGGACCCTGGAATGGTTCTTTTGGAGGAAATTGGGTTTATTCCATATTCCATCACTGAGCGCATTCATTGCAGAGACTGAGCTGCTGTGTGGAGGGTCCGGGGAGGGGTGTTAGCTGACTACCTGAGGCCGTAGGGGTCTTGTTAGCCTTTTAATACAAGTGACATTTCAGTGTATCTTGTACTTGTCTTTTTATATAATCTTGCAAGGAATTCTTTTTTGTATTTTAATTATTTGGATTATCATCATACAAAAATGGGCTCTGATAGTGTACTATTCCATTGAGCTTCTCCAGCCCTGCAGGACACGGTAAAGGTTAGAACACACTTGAGGTTAGTGTGTAAAGTTAGGCTCTTTCCTTTGAGTTCAGTACGGTTTATTGAAGAGGGTGGAGGGGACCTCTAGAGAGACATTTGACAGTCTTCCCTTAGACTGCTTGTGTGTGCCTGTGTGTGCGCGTATGTGCGTGTGTGTGTGTGTGTGTGTGTGTGTAGAAAAAAGTAAGGTCAACCTTCCTTTTAAGTGTGTAGGTATAGCTTTTAGGCCATTTGGACATATGGTTGGTTGGAATGCCTGCTTAACATTTGAACTGCAGCGTTCGGGGTATTGTATAGGACCTAAAGTCAAATGCCCCCTTTACAGAAGGCAATGATAGAAAAATGACTTACTCTTAGGATTACCTGAGATGTTTCATATTATCAGAAAGTAAGAACTAAGGTAGCTGCTGTTACATTTTCACTGCCTGGAATATTGTATCCAAACTTAGTGCCTGATTGTGGTGACCATTCTTAGGCTGGCTTTCTGGTGTAATCACCACTGCTTTTGTTTATTATGTGACTTTTAATACTTTACACGTTTAAATGGCACTGTTATTGGTTTCTCCTCCTCCTCTTTCGGTCAGTAGCCTCAGATTATTTTTGGATGCAGGTGTGGTATACATAATGATGACAATAATGGTAAAGAATTGACCTGGAATGCGCTTTTTCTTTTCCTTCTGTGTTAAACCAGATTTAACTTCCACTGTGTCTGCAGAAACCAGTCCTGCTAGCATTTCACTCTTAGGAAGAACTCTTGTTGAGGATCGTTGTGTCTGGCTTGGCAGTCCCTTATTCATGTGAACATGTGGCTGGATGTTTTCTGTGGTGACATGCAATATGTG